GTTGTTGTTGTTGTTGTTGTTGTTGTTGTTGTTGTTGTTGTTGTTGTTGTTGTTGTTATTATTATTTTGTGGTGGTAGCTGAGAACAATCCTCATTACATACTATAGATTAAACCTAAAATTGACCATATCTAGACTATTTTTAGATATTAGGCTGAAATTTGGAATGGTGGTAGATGATAGTGTAATAGTAAATTTGAACTGTAAATTTTAAATGGATGGCACGTGGCAAGCCCATTCATAGTTTCATTAGGAACTATTCTATAGTATAGTACAGTATAGTATAGTATAGTATAGTATTTCTTTGTGTGTGAACGGATGCAGAACAACTGTTAAAAAATGTAAAATGTTAGTAACAGGAACAGATTACGTGCAGCAACAGTTCCCTGTCTACCTGCTTCCCTGTACAGCTCCATGCAGCTGGAGGAAGGACTCTGAAGAGAAGAATGGCAGGACGGTGGCTGAGTGTTGCTGCAGAGCCTCAGTCAGCTGCTGGCATCGCTCCACTAAACCTCTGGTGCACAAAGACCCCGCGACCACGTCTGTGGGACCTGCCTCCTGGTGCTCGGTCTGGCCTATCACTACCACAGGCTTCATGTCCATCCTCTGCAGGAAGGACAGTGCAAAGGCCAGGCTCTGAACCATGTCCCTGCTCTGGAATGCTGAGCCGTCCACCTTAGAGAGACGGATAAATGCAAAGTGAAAGCAGTTTGCAAAATAACTAAATAAGAAGGACCAACTGGTCCAACCCTTGTCTTTATTTTTATCATAGCGTTTGGTCAAATCTTAAGGRCTGATCATGGTCATGTAGCAAACATAAACATTTGACATCTTACATCTTGCCAGCCAGTGAGAGACTGAATGTCAGACTCATCATGTAGTGAGAAAAATAAAAGCCTGCATGAATCAGATGTAGCAGTAGGTTATAGTTTAGAAATAAAAACTTGTATCTCTGCACACTGAATGACAACCACACATTTAAAACATCAACCAGCATAGGGATGGTTTTTGAAGGGTCTTGATTAAGTCTTCATTTGCATTTTAAGAACACAGTGGGCTCCTAATTCCATTTAATGTGTAAAGGTGATTCATGTTGTCCATTAAAGTTTGTCAGCCCCCTCGGTGGATAAGTGCATAATTATGCTGTCGATGTTCACGCCTCTTGCATTTCAAATAGGTACAAGAAAACTCTGATGCAGAAGAAGAAAAACACGAGGAAGTACTGTGTGAGGAGACTTACTACTGTCTGCCAGGGTCATTTATTACTAAAGGAACAGAAAAACTAAATCTGATTCCCGGTGAATCGTTTGAACTTTGTTTCTTCTTCTTGTCTTTTGATAAACCAGAACACCTGTAGTGAAAACTATAGGCTCCTGACTGGAACAAGGACTACAAGGATACATCTCTGACATGGACCTGAAAGTTGACAGGAAYAGAAACAGCTTCGACTTGTTCCAGGAGGAGTTTAAAATCCCGACGCCACCATGAAAAGAGGACACTCACTGTTGTTGGTAAAATAACCAAAATACACAGATAATACTTTTTTTTATCGAGTGTTAGCTCTTGTTGATTCACACAATATATCAGTTCCTACATCTGGCTGCAGTAGTTCAGGTATTTATTTTAATTTCTAACACATTCAGCTGTAATGAGTTATTTCATTGCTAAAAGAAAGTTCCTGTGACATCACACCTGTGTACAGGAGAAATCAGACTTAAAGCCCAGCACTGGGGCACAGACACCGGTTCTAAAAATAATAGCAGCTGCCATAATTCGGTTCCTGACGGCTTTATATTCCCAACAATCAGAAAACATTTAGTCCAGTATAAAAAAATGTCCATGATTGGAACACTGAGGTGCAGCTAAACTTTACACAAGAGCTTTCATCATGGACACAAAACAGCATGAACTGTGTCCACCCAACAGGTGCTCAATGGTTGTGGTCAGGGTTTGGCAGCCTTACTGGGTCATGGGAGGAGTGTGTGTCTGGGGGAGCACCATGGTATCCACAATACGTCCACATGCACCACTGTGGTTTGGTTGTTGAGAATTTGAGGCAAGACTCCCACCTTGACCCACAATGGTGACAAGGTCATGGAAGCAACAGTTGTATACGTAATTATGATCACATGCACAATTTTTAAAAACTTTTTCACGATATTCAAATTTTTTGAGCTGCACCTGTTCTAGGTTTTTACAGATTTGACTCAGTCCAGCTGTGTTCCATAAATCATGAGAGCGTGCTGCGGACCACTGGGGCTGATGGAAAACAAAGTGTTTCTGCAACTTTGAAAACTTTATTTTGAAAATACATGAACCTTCGTAATTCCAAGATCTGAATTATTCGTTAAAAATATGCTCTAATATAAAATAATCTGCTGATACAAAATACTAATTCTGATAAAAAATCTGTTATATTTTCTCAACATAAAAACTGTTCTAATTAAATTTTAATGTCACATATTACACAATTAATTACTTTCCCCATCATGATTTAAACATTTATATTAAACAGAGTTTAATAAAAGTACCTCCAGTACAGCAAAGGCAGGAGACTGGGCCGAGGAGGCCCTCTGAAACTGGGTCAGCCAGTAYCGGGCCTCCCGCGGGTTCCCACCCACTTCATTGAGGAAAGCTTTCACGTCCCGATAGATCAGACTCCGGTTCGGAAGCGCGTGTCGGTCCGCGGCGGACACATAGCTCAGGTTTTCGTGCGGAGCCAAGACGGCRGTTCTGCCTCCTGCCGTGGAGCTGAGCGTGCGGCTCTGAGGGGCACACGCCCTCCGCTGCTTGGGGCCCGAGCCCCCCGCGGAAGTCCCGTTTGTGTTCGACAGATACTTCCCAGCCAGCACCATGGCTCGGCAGCCAGGAGACCCGCTGTTCACTTTAGACATGGGGAAGGCTGGAAAAGTACTGGAGTCCACCGACTGAAGGCCGGACCCACCCGGACAGCAGACAGAGACAGGAGGACAGGCGCTCCCCCCCAAATCCCCCTCACAGCTGTTTCATTCTACACCTGCTGAGTCTGCACTTCAGCCGGTTTTTACAGGCCAGCACATGAATGGGGGCCAGGAACCCTTTGCTCCCATAGAGGGAGAGAGGGGTGGGAGGCAGTGCTGGTGCTATAGGTGGTCCTGAAGGGGTCAGGGCCCAACCGTTTTGAACCAAGGCCTGTGCTATCCAGTTATTTAACAAGTTATTTGACTAAATATTTTACATTGATAAATAAAGAGAATATTTCTAGGTTACAAATGTCCTCTGTCCATTTTCATGCTCCTTCCTTCCAGGGTCACTGAGGTCACTGAGGTCACTGAGGTCATGCAGCAGTCACTGTGCGAGGGGCGAGGTACACCCTGGTCACAAGTCCATCACAGGGCCACATAGAGACAAACCACTCTCTCACTCACACCTGTTTAGAGTTACCAATATCCTGATATTCATATCTTTGGGTTGTGTAAAGAAACTGGAGAAAACCCACACAYGCAAAGAGAACATGCAAACTCTMTCCAGAAAGGTCCCAACACGGACTCAGACTGGCCACCTTGCTGAAAGGCAACAGCTCTACCAACCGAGCCACCATGCTCTACAAATGTCATGAGCTATTTTTAGATCAGGGCTCAGAGAACKGAGGATTGAAAGAAATCACAGATAATTTAAAATGTTTTATTGTGAAAGGGTACAGGGAAGTGGACTCAGAGGTGATCCACTGAGAGCAACAGGGAGTAGTTATGGAACTAAATACAAGTTGAGATATTTGAATWAAATTTTCTGACTGGTTTTCATCTTTTGTTGTCAGGTCTTGAATCTGGTGCTGCCTGGATATGG